AAAGAGGAGCTTTTTTTTTTTAGTCGGCAAAATTGTAATGTTCCTCCCCCCTTCACGTGACACGTACTCGCGCCTGCCCTGACCGTATCATTACATATGTGGTTACCTAACTTCATTATCAATTAATAATTCATCAAATTTGTTGTTCAGCAATGTTGCATTAGTTACAAGTAAGACAGATGACCGTATTTTCTTGTCGATTTACTTGATGCAGATTTTGCAGACTCTAATTCCTCGATACCATATCAAAAAGGATTGTTGATATTTCCTTCTATAGCAAGTTTTCTGCTGCATTTTTTTTTTTTTTTTTTGTCAGTAACTAATTCTCTATGATAAGACCTGAAGGTTTTCTGCGAGTCTCCGCGTTCTTATTTTTGTTTTTATTTTTATAACTGTATATTTTTTTGTATTTTTTTATTGTATAACGATTTTTATCTTAACTATCTTATTGTATAAATTTAATGAATATTTAAGAAAAAAAAAGCCTCAGTTTGATCTAGATTAAACTTTTAAAAAATTAGTCAATGTCTTAAGCTTTATAGCCGCTTTCAAAACTTCTACTCGGTTTGCGATATTGGTTAATTCTACTAAAACAGGGCTGCTTAGTGCATCGCTCCTGGGTTTGAAAAGATAAACTCTTTTGATTATATTTTTATTTATTAATATTTCTTTAAACAGACAATTAATCAATTTGAAGTTGTTTCTGGATTTTAGTATCTATCTTTGTGACATTCCTAAGACAATAACATTACCTTTTCAATATCCTCATTTAAGGTAACAATTGCGCTCTTATGGCTTTTGAATATCCTCATTTAAGGTAACAATTGCGCTCTTATGGCTTTTGAATATCCTCATTTAAGGTAACAATTGCGCTCTTATGGCTTTTGAATATCCTCATTTAAGGTAACAATTGCGCTCTTATGGCTTTTGAATATCCTCATTTAAGGTAACAATTTGCGCTCTTATGGCTTTTGAATATCCTCATTTAAGGTAACAATTTGCGCTCTTATGGCTTTTGAATATCCTCATTTAAGGTAACAATTGCGCTCTTATGGCTTTTGAATATCCTCATTTAAGGTAACAATTTGCGCTCTTATGGCTTTTGAATATCCTCATTTAAGGTAACAATTTGCGCTCTTATGGCTTTTGAATATCCTCATTTAAGGTAACAATTGCGCTCTTATGGCTTTTGAATATCCTCATTTAAGGTAACAATTGCGCTCTTATGGCTTTTGAATATCCTCATTTAAGGTAACAATTGCGCTCTTATGGCTTTTGAATATCCTCATTTAAGGTAACAATTTGCGCTCTTATGGCTTTTGAATATCCTCATTTAAGGTAACAATTTGCGCTCTTATGGCTTTTGAATATCCTCATTTAAGGTAACAATTTGCGCTCTTATGGCTTTTGAATATCCTCATTTAAGGTAACAATTGCGCTCTTATGGCTTTTGAATATCCTCATTTAAGGTAACAATTGCGCTCTTATGGCTTGAAACTCTGATTTAAACTAATCCTCTTTTCGGAATTGAGGCCCAATTTTTCAAGTTGCTTTTAGTTTTATTTTCTTTATCTAAAACTACAAGACCATTAATCAGATTATTGTTGTTGTTTTAATATATATATATATATATATATATATATATATATATATATATATATATATATATATATATATATATATATATATATATATATATATATATAAATATAAATATATATATATATATATATATATTTATATTTATATATATATATATAAATATATATATATTTATATATATATATATATATATATATATATATATATATATATATATAAATATATATATTTATATATATATATATATATATATAAATATAAATATATATATTTATATATATATATATATATATATATATATATATATATATATATATATATATATATTAAAATAGCTTCGAACAAAAAGCTAAAACTATCCTTTGAAACATAAAACAAATAAACAAGTAATATTAAAATAATCAAATAAAACATAAAAACATTTACATTATATTACTATAAAATATGTATTAAACTATTTCTTTTTTTTTATATATATATATAATTTTATTTAGGCGCCCCAAGAAGTCCTTACGGTCGCATCATAGAGCGCTGTGGATGAGCATTTAATAGGAAGTTTACACATCCTCTTCCCTACCGACGACGCAAAACTTGCCCAGAGGTGGTGTTTGAACCACGGATCCTTTGCGTCTGAGGCAAATCCGCTATAACTATATTATCATAATATAATCTAATATCATTAATACGTCATATTATAAATATAAATTTTTAGAACACATGTGTTGTTTTAACTTTAATGATTGCAATGAAAAATTCATTCAATCAATCAATATATTTCACACAAAAAAAAATATTGTTTACAATTATATTGTAAACAAAATTTATTGTAATTTTTATTGTCATCATCATATTGTAAAGAATAATATTGTAAATAATATACGATATTTTTTATCAGCGATAAGAACGCTCAAACAACTTTTACATTAAAACTGTTTATTAGGATATGGTTATTATATTTTTGGTTACTGAGGCTCTTACTTTTAATATGGAGTGTTTCTAAATATAAAGTCTCTGCTTTGAATTTGTTTTTTACTATTTGCATTGTTTCTTCACAAAAATAATTTTTAATTGCTATATTGAAAATATAGTAAAAAAAACTATTTTTGTGAAGAAACAATGCAAATAGTAAAAAACAAATTCTAAGCAGAAACTTTGTAAAAAGAGTTATATATTGAGAAACAATCCATATTAAAAGTATGAGTCTCAGTAACCAAAAATATAATAAACATATCCTAATAAACAGATATAGATATCCCCTCTAAAAAAGTCCCCTCAGAAAAAATCCCGCATAATACAGCGCATAAAATAAACGATATATCATTATAATAGTTGTTTATAATACAAATATTTTATACATACATATTATAATACAAACAGAACCTTAATCCTTCATTTTTTCATAGATCGACTGACAAATAGGTAGAACATACAAGAAGTGTACATACATTGACTGAAAAATAGGTAGAACATGCAAGGAGTGTACAAACATCGAAGGAGTGTACGAACACCCAAGAAGTACCACTACATTGACTGTGGGTTTTGGTTTGGGCAGACAATCTATCAATTTCAAAGCAATATTTTTTTAAAATTTTATTTTTTGCGGGGGAATTTTTTCTCCGGGGGATTTTTTCCGGGGAGACTTTCTTTAGAACCTAAACATATAACACAATTTGCAAAAAATCTCGCTTTTTTACAAATATTTTAATGATGTCATACCTAACTTACGTAATTAAACTAACATAACGGGTAACATAACAAATAACATAACGGTAAAACATCACGCTTTCCATAGACAAAAGAATACGTAAATAATTTTGGGGAACATAATGCTTAAGACCAAGGAGGTTTGATAAACCTTTAGGTTTATTAAACTTTAATATAACGCTAAACATAAAACTAAGTTTTTCACTAACCGTTATGTAACCGTTATGTTAGCGTTATATTTTTTACAGTGAACAATAAGATTTATTAATCATCCCATAGTGCTTTAATTTATCTTAATTTAGTGGCAAACTCCCTCCAATGTTTATTAGGCAGGTGAGTGAATGTTCTTTTCAATTTTTAGCAAAAGATTATTTACTTTTTGCAGTTTTTTTGTAACCATTAAATATAATACGTTTGTCATTTGTGTATAAAAATTTTGGTACAATGTAAATTACTAAGATTAATATACTTTTTCTATCACCTTTTATAATATATCCTATGTTTTTCATGTTTGTTTTTTTCAGTTTTTAAAAATAAAAAACGAGTTTAAACCAAACAATACTTTTTGTAAAAAATAATAAAAATCAAGTAAAAAATTTAATTTATTAAAACTTAATATTTTTGAGATAAAATGAAGGAGTTATAACTTTAGCTATAACTTTACATGTTCATGACGTTTGAACATTAAAGTTTTATCAAATGAAATTTGAAATCTATGAATAAAAACTTAATCTGAATTTTAGCTTTGGGGTTATTTTTGTTCCCCGACTCCAATCCACCAACACAGTAGAGTAAAGTAAGTAGTAAAGTTTTCGACTTACAATCAAGAGGTTCGAGTATTTAATCGGCTCTGGAAGTACTGGACCCAGCCTATTTTTTCTGCGCAGCGGTCTTGTTTTACAAGTTTTGTATTTTGGAGCTTAGAGTTGCAGAGAGATTTTTATAATTATTATTTTTTTTCTTAAATAAAAAAGTAATAAAAGTAATTTAAAAAACGAGTAGCCTTTTTGTCTGTAGTGGCCTCTTTGGAGAGATTAATTCAATTATTTAATCACATGACCAGCACACTGTCGCTGCTAGTGATATTTATAAAACATTTTTATTTAGATCGTCTATAAAATACGCAATTTTTAAATTAATTAATATGCAAAACAAACAAAAAAAATTTTTCTTTGCAGAAATTTTAATTTAACCAAAAACTTAAACACTTAAAAACTTAAACATCACTTTTAACTTAAATGAAGATCACTGCAAAGGTCAGATCAAATGATCTTCTGCCTCTATTTTTTAAATCTAGTGTTATGTAATTTAAAAACGATCCCATTTTGATTTTGAAACTGAAGAATAACTGGGCGTCAAGTTATCTGAGAGTAGCATTGCGTTGAAGAATAGATTATTTGTTTTTTACAGATTATTTGTTTCCTTTTTTTTCATATTAGCAATTCTTTGTCTAACTCTTTTTGTTTTTAATTTAAAAGTTTTTAAAAAGATCTTTTATTCTCTTTATAAAATTAAACCGACCAAATTTTATGAAAAAATATATTATACTTTAGCTTTAGATTTATAAATATTATAGATAACAATAAATTTTTGCATTTTTTTTCTTTTGTTGTTTAATTAAACTCCTCAATATATTATTAAATGTTTGTTTTATATGTGCGTGTGTTTTTTTTTTGCAGTTACAAGTTCTTCTGCATAAAAAGTATTTTATGGAACAGATTTCAAGCTTGAATTTCTGGATTTGTTTTCTCTAAATATTATTTAAGTTTCTATTTTACTAATTACATATTATTGACAATTTTAGCATGATTATATTCTTAGCAATTTTCGAGCTACATTTATAGGATATAACTGTTGGAGAGACAAAGAATAATTTTTTTTTAGAAGATAAAAAACTTTTTAAAAACTGAAACCACGTAGTTTTATTAAAAAAAACATGTTTGTGTGGTTTTATTTTACACTGTTACACTTTTTGTCAGAAGTTCTAACTTGTACGGTTGCAGATCAACTATATTCAACTAGATGCCAACATATACAAAACTACGTAATTCCAGATGCTACTTCGTCCACACGACTAACAAGTATTACCAGTGGAAATTATACAGTTCAAGCCATAATAACCATTACTGGAAATACATTTTGTAGTATAGTAAGCCGGTCTGGTTTAGTTCGTCAATATGCAATTGAATACGCTCTTTATAAAGCTCACAAAAAAATAAATAATTCACAGAGAGCAAAAATTGGTTTACGAATTGATGACGATTGTGCGAGTTTGCCTATCACAATGTCCAGGGGCATTGAACTAGCGTCGATGTTGCGTGAAAATTCTGTTTGTCAAAAAAGCTTTCTTCATTGTTCAAGCAAGAGTCAAGCAAGCTTCAACGATATACAAACTCCAATTGGAGTTATTGGAACTTTACTTAGCCTCACAACTATACCTTTGGCAACTTTAACGTCGCTATATCGGATTCCTCAAATCAGCCCTGGGGCTAGCAGCAGTCTGCTGAGTAAAACTGATTTATACAAGTCTTTTTTACGAACTATTCCCTCAGATATAAATCAAGTGTCTGTAATGTTAGACATCATTGAAACCTTCCGCTGGAATTTTATTATAGCTGTAGGTTCTGATGATGATTATGGGAAGTTAGCTATATTTGAACTAGAAACAAGAGCTCGAATGAGAAATATTTGTATTACCGAAACTGTTTATGTGCCATTCAAGTCTCCAAATACTGAAAAGAGTGTCAAAAACCTAATGGAGCTAATTATCAATAAAGCAAAGGCTAAAGTTGTTATTTTGTTTTTGTATGTTGTTGATTTAGGCGACCTAATATTAAATGAAGCTAAAAAAAGAGGGGTACAAAGAATATGGTTGACTAGTGACGCATGGGTTACCACGGCAGAAAGCTTAAATGAGACATTGAGTAATCAAACGCATGGTATCATTTCAGTTTCGCCAAAGCGCTACGAATTGCCAGAATTTATTCAATTTATGGAAAATGAAATAAAGAGTAACTTTATGTGTAACATGTGGCTAAAAAATTATCTCAAAAACAATTTCAATTGCGAGCCAAAAAACATTTCTAGTAACAAAGAAATTTTGTTTGGTTTTAATAACTGTTCAGTGGACGTTAAAAACGTTATGAAAGAACTATCTAGTCCCGTTGGCAAAATTAGCAACCTTATGGATGCTGTAACTGCGCTTGTTCTTTCTATTTATAAGTTCCTTGAAATACATTGTATAAAAGATAAAAACTGCTCTGTTTCTGCTATTGCTCCTGTAGACTTAAATGCTATTGTCCGAAATATATCTTTTAAAAACAGTATGGGAGAAATTATTGAATTTGACCAATCAGGAGAACCAACATACGTCTTGTACACAATAGACAACTTACAGCTTTTAAATGGACAATTAAAATATGTTTCGATTGGTAATTGGAGTAACAAACGCACAAAACGTCTTTTGATAGAAAAAAGCATAATAAAATGGCCTTTTTGGTTTAAGAAACAACCAGAACAAAATTACCCGAACTCTAGATGTAGTGAAGACTGCAGAAAAGGGCAATTTTATACAGCAAAAACAGGTTGTTGTTGGATTTGCGAAAGTTGCGCAAACAACCATTATAGTGATACAATAATGGCTAATAAATGTTTACCTTGTAAAGCAGGTTATTATACACTGGATCATACCACATGTTTAGCCTCACGTACATATTGGCGAAGCTATAATGACGCAGAAGGAGCCGCAATAGTTATTGCTAATAGTATAGGTCTATTATTAACAATCTTGTTTAGTTTTGTTTTATATAAATTTAGTCATTTAGTTATAACAGACGAATCATCTCCGCATATGATCTTTATTGGGTGTATTATTTTAGTTTTAACATTTTCTTTTGGATTTTTGAATGTTGTGGAACCATCTTTTTATTTATGTAAAGCAAAGAGTGCTGGGTTCCAATTTTTGTTTATGACAATTTCTTCATTTTTACTAATAAAGACTAAGTTAATGGCGGAATTCCTTAAACGTAAATCTAAATTTCAATTATTTGCTTCACAAATGCTGCTTGTTGCCTTTTTATTGCTTGTACAAATGTGCATAATTACTGCATATTTTGTAATTGATTCAGGACAAGCTGCTGTTAAAAACCAACCAGTTAATGATGGCTCTTTATTAGAAAAAACTTGCAATGTAGAATTGACACCAACAAAACTTGTCTCAATTTTACTTCCAATTATTTTACTGACAATTTCGACAATTTTTGCTTTTCGCGATCGGAATAGTAAGCATACACTTTACGAGCCAAAATTTTTATGCTTTTCTTGCGCTGCTTTGAGCATAATAATGGCAGCTTTTTTATCAACTTTTAAGCTTTTAAATGGAAATTTAAAGACTCTGGTTTTGGCATTTTCGGCAAATGTTTCTGGCTTCATTTTAATGATCTGCTTTATTTTACCAAAAATATATCTGGCACAAACTCGTTTTTTTAACATATCCTCATTAAGAAATGTTTTGTCGCCATTTCCTACATCTGAAAATGAAATTAAAATCCAAAATAATACTTTAGCTAATAACAACAATATTTTGCTAAACGAAAACAATATATTACCGAAAAAAAAACTTAATGAAAAAAAAGATAAAAAACTCAATGAAAACGACGTATTACCAAAAAACAGTTTTAAACTTCTGAACAGTAATGATGTTGTATCAAACAATTTCAATACTTAATTTTATATTTCCAGCAAAATTTTTGTTAGCAAATTATGTTAATATATTACAATAAACGCTTTTTTTCTGAAGCACATTTAAAATGCTATCCTTACAAAAGTTTATTCATTCAAGAATATCCGCGGCGCTTAACCCTTAAACCTTTAAGCCCGTTCTCCATTCAGAACTTTTTGCGCTTTTGAGAAGCGTAAAAGTTCTTTGAGCATGCGCAAACAGTTTTTTTAAGCCCGTTCTCCAATCAGAACTTTTTGCGCATGCTCAAAGAACTTTTACGCTTCTCAAAAGCGCAAAAAGTTCTGAATGGAGAACGGGCTTTAGTTTCAGACGACATGTGATTTTACTGCAACTATTCTCAAATAATTTTTTTTTGTTTCGCATAAAATGAAAAAATAAATAAATTAAAATGAAATAAAGAAAGTATATACTATATTCAAAAAATATAGTACAATAAAAGCAAAATTAAATGTCAAATTTTAATTTTGCTTTTATTTGCTAAAAATGTTAATGATTATAGTATACGGGGCATCTTGTGGACACTTCAATCTTTCAATGTTTGGCTTCTGACATGAAGTTAATCAACATATTGCTAGAAATTTCGGCTGTTTTTAAATAAATTTAAAATAATAAGACATATTAGTTTAACACTATATAAGAAAAAAATTTTTTTTTTTTACCCAACAATATATTTATAAATTGAATTGTTATATAAAATTGTAGGCTCATGAAGAAAAGTATGCCTGTGCAAGGTGCAAAGATTCTTTTGAACTATTTTCTGGAGAGTTAAAAATATTTCAATCTCTCAATAATTACTATGAACTGTACTTATTTGCAGGATCTCTAGTAAAAAAAAAATGAAGGAATATAAGGTATAAATAAATAAGTATATTGTAAATATTTTCAAAATTTATCATTACAAATTTATTATTTTTAAAAGAATAGAAAATTATTATTTCCACATATTTAGAATGTCATTAATCCTTGTATGCTCAAGATAGAAGACAAATCCGTAAGTATAATAAGAGAAGCTCTATTACTAGAACTTCACCTTCTGATGGGATTTGTTAATCATGTGGCAGAATTTATAATGCAGCTTTGGTCTGGATTTATATATTTTGTCAAGAGCATTAGATGTCTTCGAAAAGTTTGCCATAGAGGTACGTTTGAAGGAAACACATGTAGAGAGATACTTAAAATTTGCAACAAACTTGAGTTGATAATGCCTGTTAAACTGTATCATCTCATGGAAATAATGAGAAAGTTTAATAAGGTTGTTCATGGTGTCTTTGGCTATAAACTTGATCCAAACTAATCAATTTTAGTTATAAGTTTTACACAAACTTATAAAGATGCGCAAAACTATTACAGAGAGGTAATCACTGCATTTAACCTTATTTGAAACCAAGTTATTGATAAACATATTTATAGTAAATTTTTTCAGTTTTCAGATAAACAGCTCGCGGTTACCTAAAAAATACATGCTGTAACCACACATCTGGAAACATTTGTTGATTTGAGTGGCTTTTTCATTGGGCAGTTTAATAATCAAACATCTGAATCTTGCTATTCCAAGTTAAAAAGTGTAATAAACAGGTTTGGAGTTTCGCAGTATAGCATAAAGAAACAAACATAAAGAATTGCTGAAGTGTTCAATTCAAATAATTTATAAATTATTGAATTTACATCAATTGTACATCAAAACACAAACATTATTGAAATCTTAAGTAAAAAAAAAATTCTAAATTCATTCAAAAAGACATTAAAAGTAAATTAGTATAAACAATTATAAAATATTTTATTCAGTATCTATTATATTGTAATTTATATAATAGGTTATTAGGCAACTATGCATACAATACTACTATTCACCTAAATTACTTATTATTAATATGTTCTACTTTACTAAGCATACTATGCTCCTAAATTAATTTCAAGTGTTTCTAAACTTTTTTCGCCAACTTAAAGCAGTCTAATGATGTTGATATATAAATACAAAATTAAAAAAGGATAAAAAGTGGGAATATAAAGTTGTTTTATGTAAACGTTACTATTCTGTCAGTATATTTAGTTTTTTTAAATACGAAAAAAATGACTTTTTAGCAGATTTTCAATGTCAATTTTCTAAAAATATGATACCTCCCAGATTTTTCTAAATATGAAAATGAAGTATCCAGATGCCCTACTTACTATAATCATTAACATTTTTGGGGTACTCAGGTAGTAATCTTAAACCTTAAATTTCTGAGCTGTGTAGAGTGAATAAATCGATTAAATAATCAATATATTCTGACAGTGAAATTCATAAAAACGATTTAAAAATTATTTAAATTAACCCCAATAACAAATACTTTCAAGTATTTTTAATATTGCAAATTCATAAAATTATATCTTAGCGTTTAAAAATTATAAAATGTGTAATCCCCTCAAATTGAGGGGGTTCAAACTTTATATGGTCATAATTTTTAAACGCTTAAAGAGATTAATGAATATATCAATTAATATATTAGTTGATAATTTCATAATTTTTAAACGCTTAAAGAGATTAATGAATATATCAATTAATATATTAATTGATATATTCATTATTCTCTTTAAGCGTTTAAAAATTATGACCATATAAAGTTTGAACCCCCTCAATTTGAGGGGATTACACATTTTATAATTTTTAAACGCTAAGATGTAATTTTATGAATTTGCAATATTAAAAATACTTGAAAGTATTATTGAATATATTGAAGCCTGGGAGCAAAAGCAATAATATTTTTGAGATAACTGCCACAAACGTGAAAGCAACAAGTAGATAAAAAAAAAATTTTTATTATTTTGAACTAAGTTTATATATATAAACTTAGTTCAAAATAATAAAAAAAAAAATTTTATCTACTTGTTGCTTTCACGTTTGTGACAGTTATCTCAAAAATATTATTGCTTTTGCTCCCAGGCTTCAATATACCCCTTCAAATAATGATACCAATTGCAAAAAAAATAATAAGTTACAATCAGCCGTAACAACAAAAGTAAAATAACTATATAAAAATAATAATGCATAATTTTTACAAAAAGTTGCGTCCAGTTGACGCCTAAAATGGACGATCCTTTGTCCGAAAATGATGTCTTATGGACGTCATGTAGACGCCTATAATGCGTCCTTTTTGGACACGAAGTTAGTGTCATTTTAGTTTTGGAGTGTATTATCAAATATCACTTGGAGGAAGTAATGAATGTGAAAAAAAAAATCTTATTGTTTTTCAAAAGAAAAAAAATGTCTAGTGAAGATTAACATTTTTAATTTAAATCTATCAATTTAATAATTAATAGATTTAAATTAAAAAATAAACCAATTACTGAGTAAAAGCAATTGCTTTTTTTATTCACCCGGCCTAATGTTCGACAATTTTGTCCGGTCAGATAAAACTTTTTTCTTTTTTTTATTCACCCGGCCTAATGTTCGACAATTTTGTCCGGTCAGATAAAACTTTTTTTTTTTTTTTATTCACCCGGCCTAATGTTCGACAATTTTGTCCGGTCAGATAAAACTTTTTTCTTTTTTTTATTCACCCGGCCTAATGTTCGACAATTTTGTCCGGTCAGATAAAACTTTTTTCTTTTTTTTATTCACCCGGACAATTTTGTCCGGTCAGATAAAACTTTTTTCTTTTTTTTATTCACCCGGCCTATTAATACGCCAAAAAGGCTTGTGGCCAAATCTAAACTATTTCTAATAATGTGCATGATGTGGCTTCAGCAATTACAAAAAATGTAGAGAATAAAAAAAGATTACAAAAATGCTCTAGCTTGCCAAATGTTTTAATAAAATTTTTTTTTTTTTTTAATTTTTATTTTTTGAATTTTTTATTCTTCAAAAATATAATTCATATCTAATGGAAAAATAGAATTGAAACCTGCTGCCACAAAAGGGAAAAAGCAGAGTTTTTTGGTTTAAAAAAAACTTTTTGAATTATAAATTTCTCGTACTTCGTCAAAAAGCTTTTACTGAAAAAAAAAACTTCACTGAACCACTTCAAACAGCAACAAGATTGAAATGAAAAAGTAAAATTGAAGATCCAGTTACGGAAAAAAATTGTGTGGAATTAAAAATTCAGAACCAATAAGTTAACCGCTAGCATGTAATTAGGAAAGTTTAGTTAAAACAATAATTAAATAATTTAGATGATGTTATGAAAGGGTTCGCTTTTGATAATAAAATAAGAACTGAAGGTTATCGAACAGTAAAAAAATTAAATAACCTCGTTAAAGAATTAAAAAAACATGGTTACAACCTTTAAGTTAAGAGTTACTTATTCATTCTCTTCGATGTTATTAAGATGCTCTTTGGTACACTTTTTACATGGATTTTATTAAAATTATATCCAATATACTAAGATTACATCCAAGTAGATAATTAAGTAAAGATAGAGAAAGGCACTTTAAAACTGTACCTATTAAACTAGTAAGAGCACAAAATTCTGAGCATAAGTCTCAAAGAGATACAAAGTTTGTCAAATCATCCATTAGCGCCCTTGAAGAACGCGCTGAAGTCTTTAACAAATTACATTTTAATCTCAGGATAACAAACCCATGGTGCTCATTGAATTGACATCTGCAATCAGTCAAGCACTATTGATAATGCATATAGAGTACAAGATAATAAAAAAATTTCTGTTTTTTAAGTAAAACATTCGATCTGTATAAATATGGAAATATGTTATTAAAGCCTTTGTTTATAAACTAGTAATAAATTACAAAATATTTTATGTGTTTGGTTCGAAAGATTATACTACCCAAGACTTGCCGCCACATCAGATCGCTAGAGAGTTAGCAGTTGTGCAACAGCAGCAATAATTAATGTACGTAGCAGGACATGGATTTGTTAAATGAATCAAACACTCTGGATTGAAAAAAGGTAGAACGAGAAAGATTCAAAGTTGGGGAAACAAAAGTTAAAACTCTACAAAGAGTATAGAATGTTCTTATTTTAAAGAACACAAATTTTGTAAGAATATATGAATCGCTAACTTGAAAAATGGGACATATGTGAATTTTTGCAGGACACTCAATGCACTTAATGCAAGTTTTCATATTTTTTGACTCGCTTGCTCTCTGTGGCAACAAACACACAAATTTTCCGGACCGTAACATTTTTACTAGGGTTAGTTAGTGATTTAACATAATTAAGATATATTTAAAAAAGCTTTATGATTTTCATTTACAAGATGTTTGATTTTATGCTTTTCAGTTAAATACTGCAAAACCGCAAGTTAAAGAATCGTCAATAGACTGCTCTGTCATAATAAAAGATAACGTTGATTGTATAATAAATGTTTTGTGAAAATAAAATTTTTACTTGTTCTTTTTTGTTTTCATAAAATGTTTTGTATTCGTTCCTTTGTTTTCCAAATTTGCTTAGGGGTCGTCCATAAATTACGTCAAGCGTTTTTTGACATTTTTTGACCCCCTCCCCCTCGCAATGCATCCGTAACACTTTATTGACCCCCCCCCCCCCCAATATAACGCAACAATTTTTTCCCCCCTTTCCTAAAAATTTTTTTACGTTTTTTTAGCGAGAAAGGGGGTCTATGATTCGTCAATAATGTCTATAATTCTCTGAACTTCTTTGAGTTAATTAATTAGTACTTTCCAGTCTGTTTATTGTTTTTTTTTCACCCCAATAATTCCGTGTAAAGTTGAATAAATTAACATCGCTCTCCTAAACATGATATCAATTTTAAAAATCTATTCTACCGAAATATAATACATGCAAAATATTATATATATAATATATAATAAAAAATAACATATTATACATTCAAAAATATCATTTTATGAATAAAATTTTGATTCTGCCTCCGTTTAGTAAACCGAGGGTTCCATGTTTGTTTCTCGGTGTTGAAATTTTTTTTTTTTTAGTGCACAAAGATTGTTTTTTTGTTGATGTACACTTTTGTGCACCAACTAAATAAAGTTCTGCACTTGAGCCATATAAATTTAAAGCCGTAGCAGTCTGTAACTACTCCGTAAACGGAGTGTACATGGACTAAGTAAGATTTAGGCATAGTTGATTTTACAATCAACATGTAACATGATTAAGTAAGATTTAGGCATAATTTATTTTACAATCAACATGAGGGTTTTAGTTTAGTCAGATACTCTTTTAATTAAAAGAAAGTTTTCCCTAACAAAAAAATGTTCCGTCACAAAATTGAGACACTCTCCCTCTCCTCGTAACAAATCGTCACAAAATCGCCTACACCTCCCCCCCCCCCTTCCTAAGCATGACGTGATTTATGGACAAACCCTTCAGAAATAATTAGTTTTTACATATATATACAATAATTAATCTATTTTACATATATTTACAATAATCTCAAGTAACTTAAAGACCAGGTCTTTAGTTAAATAGCTTAATGAAATTATAAAATAGAGGTGATGCATATCACAATAATATTTAAAATTTGTGTTCATCACATTCAAATTAATAAAAGCTTTCATATTTAATCGAAAAAATAGATTTTAAACTTGAAATAACTAATTTTTTTCTACCTTTGATATGTTTTTAGACATACAACTGGTTAGAAATTGAACATATGACCAGGGCTGGACTGGGCCGCCGGGACACCGGGACGATTCCCGGTGGGCCGCCTGGTTTTTAGCAGGTTGTTTTGATTTGCTTTTGACTTCAAACGCGATTTATGGCTAGCGATAATTATGCGATACGATCCGCAGTGAGATATTTCGTATTTTTAATGATTGCATTTTGTGAAGTGAATCTTTTGAAGTGACAGGTCGTGTAACGGTGAAAACGGCATTTGAAAACAGTGTGTGAAACTACGTGTAGCATAAAGTGAAAAGTTGATGATTGCGTATTCGGGAAGCGGGAGCGATCGGAGCAATCGTTGACCACGGAAATAATATTTAGTTGCGAAAAACTGGCCAGATTTTTTAGTCGTTTTGAGAACATTTCATTTTATGTATGTTTCCATGTTTATCCGCAAAATAGTTATAAAGTTAAAATGTAAACTTAAATGGGCCTCTAATATTATAGTCTTCTCCTTACGTATATATTTGATAAGATGAGTGAAGATTTGAAGCGGAAAAGTAAAGGCTGGGCAGAAAAGCAACGTGAAAAGAAACAAAAGCTTCTTCTTCAAGGGTAAGAAAAGTGTAAAAAGATAACCGAACTTTTTAGACTAAGTACCCCCACCCAGTTTAGTGGTGATACTCTGGTTGATGATTTAGGTTCTCAAATTTCTGACGGCGATCAAGCCGGTCCTGCCGTCTCAGCCTCCGTGAGCTGCACTGTGCTAACTCCATCCCAGAAATCTGTATCCTCTGACTCCCGGCCTCAGAATCAGTGTTCGGAAATTTTCATGCGTCCACAATCGCAGTGCCTTGAATCATTTTTCAAGAGTCATCCGGTTCAACCAAAAGAGGATGGGGAACATTTTCCATTTTCTAATGTTCGTCGAGTGTTTTATAGAAGCCAAGACGATATCAATAGGGTTTGGCTTTCTTACTGTCACAGTTCGAAGGCCATGTTTCGCACAGTGTGTCTGGCCTACAGCAAAGCTAGTGAATCCAATGCATTTACTGATGGCATGAATGATTGGAAGCATGTTCACCAACGAATCGAAGAACACAAATCGAGTAAACACCATTGCAGGAGTGTAGAGGCACACATGTCGAGCAATGACAAGGACGTATATAGCTTGCTTTTTTCAAATCAAAAAAATGTGAGAGCTGCTCAAGTTAAAGAAAAACGGCAAGTTCTAGAACGTGTGATAGAAATTGTTAAATTTATTGGAAAGCGAGGACTTAGTTACAGATCTATCAATGACGCAGCCTACTGTCTGGACAATGTCAATATTGACCACGGGAACTTTTTAGAAATTTTAATCCTTCTGTCTAAATTTGACCCGCTTATGAAAAATCATCTTGACATCGTGACGGAGAAAAGTAAGCAACGACATGTCACGTGCGCAGCATCAGGAACGAAGGGACGAGGAGGGTTAGTAACATTTATTTCAAGCACTACTGTCAATTATGTAATTGAATTTGTTCGCCGTATGATTAAGGCATCGATTGCAGATGAGATTCAATCGGCAGGAATGTTCTCCGTGCAACTGGACACAACGCAAGATGTTAGCGTAAAGGATCAATGCTCGATTGTAATCCGATATGTTAAAGACCATATTTACGAGCAACTGGTATCCGTCAGCAATTGTACTAATTCGACAGGCAAGGGTATGTTCGAGCTGTTCCGGGATGAAATTGTCAAAATGGGCATAAACATTGAAAAGTGTGTGGGAACTCTACAGTCGGGGCGGCAAACATGCAGGGCCAATATTCCGGTTTCACAAAATGGCTCAGTGAAGCATCCCCAAGTGCATGTGTGGTGTTACGCTCATGTATTGAATCTTGTTCTTGTTGATACCACAGAAACCACCAAAGCTGCTATTAGTATATTTCAGCTTATAAACAAATGTGCTGTTTTCTTGCGCGAATCATATATACGAATGGACATATGGGCGTCAAAACAATCAAACAATAGAAGACTAAATGTAATTGGCGAGACACGCTGGTGGGCAAAGAACCATGCATTAAAAAAAATATTTGGAAGCTTCAACAACCCATCGACATCCTTGTATATTGAGCTAATTAAAACTTTACAAGAGTTAGCCTCCTCTGAAGACTTTAACCCAACTGTTCGCGACACCGCCCAAACTCTATTAGATAAGTGCATCTCATTTGAAACAATTCTTACCGTTCAAGTTTTTTTGCGTATATTCCAACACACAGCATCACTTTCCAAGTACCTGCAGACAAGTGGGATGGACGTGCTCTAAGCCTACCGAAACGTTGACTGCACTATCAAGGCACTGCGAGACGTGTCCAGAGACTTTGATGGCATTAATGCGAGCGCTAAAAAATTTGTCGAGTGGGCCAACAACTCATTGAAAGATCTGAAAATTGATGTGACGGTTGAAGCTGCATTGCCAGAGAAACGAGTTCGCGTCCCAAAAGCAATGAGTGGTGAGCGACGCACTCACGAGGCTGTCGGAGATCGCGCAATTGATTGCTACAGGATAACGGTACACAACTGCATTATGGACAAAGTAGTGAAAACTTTGGAAGAACGCTTTAAAGCTCAAGACACGTTGTTCGCTGACATGGCGTGCTTGAATCCGGAAAATTTCTACGATATTAAGAAAAACGGTATCCAACCTACTGCCTTAGTACGTCTCAACAGCATTCTAACAAAATTTAATAAAGATGCAACAGCTTCAAATTTACAATCCGAACTCATCGACTTTTCGCTCAAGTGGAGCAAATTTAAGAAGACCGTTCCTGAAGAGTATTTGGGCATGAACTTAGCGGAAAACCGAAACGACAACGATGAATTGGAGAACGACGAGGAAACTGCAGTTTCTTCGTTCTCTGAAGACAAAGAAGCTCATGGTAAGCTCATGGTAAATGCAAGAGTTGCAAAATTTGCCCCGTCTGTTGCTTCACGGTTTTACACAAATACAATTTCTACAGCAAAGCCTACACCCATTTGTACAATGCTTATAAGCTCTTGCTGACTTTATCGTCTACTCAAGTTGCGTGTGAACAGTCATTTTCCAAATTAAAATACATTAAAAATAGACTGCGAAGTTCAATGTCGTCCACGCATTTAGAAGCTTTCATGCTGATGTCTGCCGAAGTAGATGTTATGGTTGGGCTGTCCAACGAAGACATCATCGACTCGGTTGCAGAAATCGCACCTGGGATAAAATCACATCTGGTCCTTTGATCCACTACCATCCACATTCGGTAAGTTTTGATAATATGGCGTCAGAAACATTATGTTATTACGGACGTTACCAAATCATAATTGATGGGTTATTTTTTTTGTTAATATCGAGTGCAACACATTATAACCACAGAATTCTGGAGACAGCATGTATACCTTTTATGATTGCAATACAGATTCTATTGGACGAATGCAGTTTTGCACTAACTATACCATGTATAAGGTACGTGCTATAAATATTACTGTTAAAGCATCAAAGTCTATTATCAGATGTTTTTGTGCAACTTAGTCAAATAATTGTTTTGTAGTAGAGCAGAGAGCTTGCACATTATAGTATAGTTGTGACTTTTCGAGCGATATTTTCGACTACCTATTAAAACATATTGAAACTTCTATATTATACCTGTATGGTAAATGGTAGCTATATACCTATATAGATATATATAAATATATATTATGCAAGAATAAAAATGTGAAGCAGTCTACAATTTGTAGGCCTAAAAAATGTCGCCGTAATTTTATCTAACTCCTGAACATGATACGAATTTTTTTGCTGCTGCTATGCAAGTCGGAAATTCCCAGCTGAACCCCCCCTCATCCTCCCCCGCCCCTTAATGACTTAGTATTGCTGTATGTGTGCCGGACCGCTTGGTTTACAGTCCCGGGCCGCTTGACCACCCCCAGTACAGCCCTGCATATGACTCAAAACTTATTGGAAAATGTTGTTTTCTTTAGTTAATGGTTTATCTTCGTATAGCATCAACATCATTTTATACCAAAAAATGATACCTCAACTATAAAGCAAAATTTTATACCTGAACTTAAATAATTTAAAAAAATTTTAACGTTACTTAATTTAAGACATGCGAAAGAACTAAAATTAAAAAAAATATATTTATTTTATTTTATAGTTGTTCTAAAAAAATTCAGTTAAACATAGCCTTTTTACTAAAACGCAAAATTCGATTATTTTCCAGAACGTGCATTAACTGCGTTGAGCATGTCCCCTTTTACAAGTTAGCGATTCTTATAAATAAAATGTAAAAGATAAAAGTCGTTATACAATAAAAAAAATATAATAAAATATACAGGTATAAAAAAAAAAAAAAAAAAAAGAACACGGAGATTCGCAGAAGACATTCAGGTCTTATCGTCGAGAACCGCTCATGAATATAAATTCACGAGCTTTTTTTTTTATTATTATTTTTCTCCGCGTTCTTTTTTTTGTTTTTATTTTTATACCTGTATATTTTGTTATATTTTTTATCGCATAACAATTTTTATCTTAACTATCTTATGGTATAAATTTATTGAATATTTAAGAAAAAAAAAAAAAAAAAAAAAAAAAAAAAAATTAGTCTGGTTTGTACTAAACTTGAAAACTCGTTTTTCAAGTGCAAATGTCTAGTTTGCTTCCTGCATTACACTTTAGTCAGGCAAAAGATTTAAAGTATAATTTGATATTTTTTGTTTGATAAGTTTGCATATTGCATTCGAATATGATATTTGCTTTCTCTAGTGGGTTTTCAAGTTTTATTTAAAAACCGCCGGTTTTCAAGTATAGCTCAAGTTTTTTCTTTCAAATTCGCTCTTAGCGAACTTGAAAAAAAAATACTCGAGTTATACTTGAAATCTGAAATTTGAGCTCTTGTCAAATTTCAGATTTAAAGGATGACTTAAAATTTCAAGTTCGCATTCCACTCAAGAAAATTTTCATCGAACTCTAATAAAAAATCTTTCTTATTGGAAAGTGACTAGTTTCTTTTAAAAAATTATTTATTTACTAAGTATGCGTAAAATAAATATATTTATTTTCCTTCTCCGACTTCACTTCTCAAACAAAATATGCAAATGATCGCCACTGAATTTACAAGTTTAATTATATATTTTTTTAAAATACAAGCTTTGAAGCAAATCCCACTATTTTATAAAGAATTGAACGGCATTAAAGACAGGTCCTACCGAGATTTAAACTCGGAAAAGACAAATCCTACCGAGGACTACCAAAAGATAGGTCCTACCGAGATTTGAACTCGGATCGCTGGATTCAAAGTCCAGAGTGCTAACCATTACACCATAGAACCATACACTTATTGGTGATTTATATATATTAATACAACTAAAAACATAAAAAAATACGTTTTTAGTTAAACTTTTAGATGTTAGAATTTTTTTAAATAGTGACTTGGATGTGATATTTTTATATTCCATATTTTCAAAACTGACGGGCGTCCACTTTGAATTTTAAAATTAATTTAATTTACTAATCATAATAATAACAATAATAATAACGGTAATAATTGAAAAATATAATGCATTTTAATTTATATTTTGCTATTTTGGTCCCGACTTAATATCATTAAGTCGGTTATATATATTAATACAACTAAAAGCATAAAAAAAGTACGTTTTTAGTTGTTAAACTTTTAAATGTTTAAATAATGACTTGGATATGATATTTTTATATTCCATATTTTCACACATAAAGCGCACACAGTGCTCTGTAGAGCAAAACTTTCTCAAGTTTTAAATTTTAAAATCTCCATAGCTCATTATTATCGAGCTATGGAGATTTTTAAATTTAAAACTTGAGAAAGTTTTTCTCTACAGAGCACTGTGTGCGCTTTAAGTGTGAAAATATGGAATATAAAAATATCATATCCAAGTCACTATTTAAACATTTAAAAGTTTAACAACTAAAAACGTACTTTTTTTATGCTTTTAGTTGTATTAATATATATAGCCGACTTAATGATATTAAGTCGGGACCAAAATAGCAAAATATAAATTAAAATGCATTATATTTTTCAATTATTACCGTTATTATTATTGTTATTATTATTTATAGTAAATTAAATTAATTTTAAAATTCAAAGTGGACGCCCGTCAGTTTTGTTTGGAGATGCCTCTGTACAAACGAAAGAATGACGTCACTTTTATATGGCGTGAGCATGCTTAAAAAGTAATAAAAGATTTAAAAAAGCAAAAGTGCAAAAAAAAAAGTTGTCGACAGGATCTCTTACCTCAGAACAATCATTAGTGCCATTCTTAGATACTAAATTGTCTTTATTAAAGCCAAAAAGTATAATATTATCTCTGTTTTATTGGACGATGAATCAATAAAGGAAGTTAAAGTGCATCATATTGTAAAATTAAGTATGATAGATGGAAAAATTAATATCATTAGTTCTAGAACAAGCAATCCTTACCAATGATGTTTGGTGTATAGCGCATCTCCGATCAAAATAAACAATCTATCTTTGTAGTTCTTAAACAAACTTCAGAAGACAGTTTCTGATTTGGTGTTTCATCTTTGCATACTAAGATAAGGTTTTTAGAATGTATAAAGTTATAAAATAGCAGGCTTAGAGTTGTTAACAAGCCTAAAGTTCGAACTAAATTTAAAAAACGATTTGCCTTGTCATAAATCAACTAAGAGCCGGTGGGACAGGTCAATGTTGCCAAGAGAGGGAGGGGTCGGGAGGGGCAGATTGTCCGGGGCGGCAGATATCCAAGGGGCTCCAAATGAAATGTAGGTACCAAAAAAAAAATAAAAAAATAAATCCTTTATATATAATATAGGGAAAATTTGATAAATAAGGGTGCCATTCAGGATTGGTGTCCCAGGCGGCGTGACAGCTATCGGGGGCCCTGGGATAGGTTTATCAAATGATGGTAAAACAACAAGGCTATTTTTTTAGAAATATGATGTCTCAACTATTACCTCAAATACACAGCCGACAACACCGGAGGACTTGTGAAAAGTGAAAAGCAATGGCGTATAAATAAAACTAGATGCGTGACTCACAGCTTTTTGCGATTAACTTACTGAAGCCAGCGTCCGCCATTTTGGGGTACGGCAAAAACATGAGACGCGACTATAAAAACAGTGAGTTATCAAAATAATAATTAGTCATGAAATTTTGATTAATTTTTTATTACTTTGATATATATATATATATATATATATATATATATATATATATATATATATATATATATATATATATATATATATATATATATATATATATATATATATATATATATATATATATATATATATATATATATATATATATATATATATATACAAATTAGTAGAAAATCATTTAACAAATTTTTTTTTCATTTTACACTGTGTTTTATCAACAAAGACTCATCAGAAAGGCATTTCTGATGGATGAAACACAGTGTAAAATGAAAAAAAAGTTTTTGTTAAGTGATTTTCTACTAATTTATAATTGCTCTGTTCTTTTAAGAACATTGAGCACTCTATTTTCTAGAATACATTTTTTTAAATTGTTTAAGTATATATATATATATATATATATATATATATATATATATATATATATATATATATATATATATATATATATATATATATATATATATATATATATATATATATATATATATATATATATATATATATATATACAAATGACTAATATATTTCAAATTTTTGTATAATTTTATTTAATTTGAGACCAGACATGACCTATATTTGAAATATTGATGATATTAAGGAACCGTTAAACGTTTAAGATTTTTGAGGCACCTATAATGATTAATAAAGCAAATTTCAAATCATGAAAATTTACAAAATTAAAATTATATTTTAACAGTAGAAAACTTAAAATAAAGCAGTAGATTGTATAGTAATAAAAAGTACATTTAAAGATATTCAATTAAAAGTAGGCATGAACCAAAACCTGAAGATTTTTAAAATCTTTTAACAAAAAGGCTCTTTTTTAACCAAGCCGAAAACTTGGTTTTATTCCTTGAATAAGTTCGAGGTAATATTTTTGACGTTTTGAGTCTAATGGTTAAAAATATAGCAGCAATTTTTCAAAAAGAAGTAGTTGCTCTTAAAAATTTAACAGTTTTTACCTCTTTGAAAACTTACATCCAGTTTAAATTAATCATTTATCCCTATTTAACGCGTTCAGAATTTAAGATTTTTGCCGTACCGCCACCTTGCGTTACGGTAAAAATCTCAAATTCTGGCTTCACTTTTTAATTCAAGTCACGCATCTAGTTATATTTATACGTATAAATATAATTGAGACGTATATACGTCATTGGTGAAAATGTGTGTAAAGAGAGGGGGGCGAAGACTTTTTTTTTAGAAATTGACGATTGTGCCTTTCACTTCAAAACCCGTGTCATCGATCCTGAAATATGGATGTAAAAGGCTTTTATATTATTCTAGCCACAATGTCATATGGTTAAGAAAATGACTCATAATTTATGAGTCAATATCTTAACATAGAACATTCTAAAGCGAGTTGCTTTGTTCTATGTAGACCTGTATCTATGGTATCCAATGACTCAAACACTTTACAAGATTTTGGTTCATGGCTATGAAGTTGTTGAACTTTTTACTTTTCCATCAGGTATGTTTTCTGAAGTGGCTTAAGAGACTACCAATAAGGTTTTTAAGATTTTTCGTGTTTCGAGAAAATACGATGGCGAAAAAATGGCAAGTCATTTAAGAAGCAAGGTCTTTTAATTCTGTCGGTCGGACTTTATTTCGGAAAAAAAGATTGTTTCTTTTTTTTTTTGTGCTAAATTTAAAGCAAATTTCTTGCAGATATACAACTCATTAGGACAATACTTATTTTCTACAGAGCCATTTTCATCAAGCTTTGAGTAAAAAAGAATATTTTTTTATTCAAGGTTTATTCAATTAAATAAATGTCAAAAAATTTAATTAAAAAACTGATCTGAAAAAGGTAAATGGTTTACCATCTAATAAACCATTTAATTTCTGATGAAATTCTATAAAAAAAGAACAGAAAAACTTTGATAACTTTTGGATTAAAAAATTATACATAATAAAAAAAGCATATAGTATAAATAGAATTTTGTATCTTAAAAATTTTTTAAATCGAGTCATTACTTTTTTAAATTTAATATTTTTGTTGTATATGCGGAATTACTTGCGTATTTATTTTAATTAAAAATGAAGATGAGGTAGAAAAAAGTAAACAAAAATGGTACCAAGTTTTTTTTTTTAAACATATGAATATAATACATATATTTTAATTTTCTGTGTTTTATATATTTATCAATATCATTATATTTAACTTTAAACGGTATATTTCAGTGTAATATAAACATTGTATTTACTTTTTTTTACTGTTTAGTTTATAATACAATTACAAAATTCAGTTTGAATGTAGGTGGAAACATTTCTGTCAACTTTTCAGCTACTAGTTTATTTTTTTTGTATTCTTATTAACTAAATGTTTTAATTATGCAAATAAGAAATTGAAATAGATAATAAATCTTTCTTGACACCCAAAGACCGAATATACTTGTATAAACGTACTCCTGATAATCATTATTTGTTTTTAATTTTAGTTATACGGTTATTTAAGCTGATTCAAAATCAAAGACCAACCCCATTTTAAAGTTGATATTTTTGAAAATTTATTAACTTTTTTAGAATTATTTTTTATTTTTATTTTAATTTACATTTACATGATATTCAGGAATAATGTAAACTGTCCCAGCAAAATTACAAATCAATAGGACTATTGAAATGTACTTTTGATGTGACAGTTTACATAATAACTTACCAATTAACTTTAATAGTTATTATCAGTTTACTAATACAATTCATCTTTATAATCTAATATAAATATCATGAAGCAACCTCGTGATACCTTTGAAGCCAGCATCTAAGTATGACGTTTATAGAATAAATATCAATCAACTAAATCATGGAATTTTCCCTCAGAAATCAAGAATACATATCTAAAAATAGAACTCTTTTTATTATAAAAAAAAAATTATCCAAGACAAAAATAATAAATGAAGTTTTTGTTGTGTATATCATTATTAATCTCTTTAGTGTTTGTGATGGAATTGATGGCACAGTAAAATCAAATCATATTTTATATATCATTGGTATCTATCTACAATAAAATTTGTATATTATACAGTATACAAAATTTCAGAAATTGAGTTGGCAAAAATCATTAAACAAAATAATTAAAATTTGTGGAAGATTGGCTATACAAAGTTTGAACCCTCTCACTTTGAGGGGGTTACAAACTTAATAAGGTCATGACTTTTGAATGCTAAGAGATTATTTTAATAAATATAAAATTTATTAATGAATATAAATTTATTTAAGAATAGCACAAAAACACTTTATTAACTTGTCGCTCTCTTGTTTGGGGCAGTTGTGGCCAAAATTTTAGGGCTTTTTTGTTTCCAGACTTCAACCCGTGCAATTTTTTGCAAAACATCATTATTTCTCATAAGTATAAAAATATAAATTTTTGGAGTTAGTTCCATGTCTTGAAGTTAGACAAAAAATTGAAACTACTTAAATACTACTTAAATCCACCATGTGATTGTTCAAGTTGAATCCACCATGTGATTGTTCATATTAAATCCACCGTGTGATTGTTCATGTTAAATCCACCATGTGATTGTTCATGTACCATTAAGACATTGTCTATTTAAATTTAAGTTTGATACCTCATTATGTTCATTAAATTTTGCCATTTAATCAGTCAGCGTAAATAAAAAAATTGAAACCTGAATATTTCATGAGCCAAAAAAATTTGTAGGTTTCAAATTAGAGATTTTCCTGGTTTTCATAAACTTTAAGACATAAAAATTAGCAAAATCTAAAGCATGGGGTAATTTTTATCAATTGAATATATGTTAATTGTTTTTTTTTACTAATTACTCTATTTGTCAGTTCACAATATGGAAAGTTATGGAAAATGTTTTGGAATAAAACAAAGTAGAGTCAGGTATGTTAAATCAGATTTCATGAAAAGACACATAAAATAGATTTAATTTAGATAATAAA